TCAAAGAGGGAGGTGAGGGAGGCATGGTAGATGCAGGGGTTTGTTGCTCATAACGGTTGAGAGAAGAAAACATTTTTCAGGGGGCAGAGCAATTGTGACCTCCTTGGGCTGGTACCAGGTAACCTCCAAGGCTAGTGTCTCCTCCTCAGGACACAGGGAACCGCCTGGCCCCTGAGCAGGATGCAGTGGATCATGGCCCACGCACCTGCCATATTATTCCAAGTTTGGCCTTAAGACAGTTTGTCTGCTGAGGCAGAAAATGAAAGAACAAAAGCCTTTTCAGAGAAGAACACAGGCCAGGATTCCCCGCCAGTTCTATTGACTGTGTTTCGAACTACTTACAAACAAGTCTTCCTTGAATGCTAACTGTGTGTTACCGGATCAGCCAAAGGTGGAGGCGGAAAGGTGTCCTTTTATTCAACCGCAAATCTCTAGTTTTGGGTGAAAAATAAAAAAAGAAAGAACACTGCCCCTGGGCACAGACTTCTAGGTCTCTTAGACCATGTCCTCACAAAGTACCGTGGGCACATTCCTTTAATTTTTTCCTTAATTCCCATTGCTGGCTGTGAAATGAAGTCTGGGCTTGTGAGGCCCAGACCGGGGATCTTTCCACGGGAAAGTTTAGTGCCACCAGCATGAAGGACAGCCCTGTGAGGATACCTTTGAATGCACCCAGACATCCATTCAGCTGGGTCCGGGGACAAACGCTGCCTGAGGAGATGTGTGTATTTCATAAATCTTCCCACAAGCGATAGGGCGAGACAGACAGAGGACAGCTGGGAAGAGGGGAAGGACTTTGTTCAGAGGTGAAAATGGACGGAGAACGGCGTATGAGGGAAGACTCTCAGGAAATGAGGTATTTGGGGTGGGGGTGGGGCTCCTGGTGGAAGCCACAATTTCCTTTCGGGGTCCTCAAACCTCCCCGCTACAGGTTTACTGTTGAGACCATGGTTGTTGACATTAACACTGGGAGGAGACAGGTCTGGGTCCCCTGCAGGTGCCATGGTTAGCAAGGCCCAGCCAAGGGACTTGATGAGGGACTGATGGAGGTTGACGGAGGACTTGAGGCGGTTTGGACTTTGTAGGTAGGGTTGTATGACCATCTTCCTCCCTTTCAGCTGTGTCCTGCTGTAGCTTTATGTGGTACTAGGGGAACTTTACTTTAGGGCTGTCTTCCAGGCATCTCATCTCTTCCCTGCACCATTCCAGGCTACTTGGCTTTTGCATGCTACCATGAAGGGACACGAAGTGTCCACATTTGCAAACTACATTTTGGTAAGATAACAGCTGGATCTGCCACTGACTGTTTGGCCAACGCTCCCAATTGGCGTCTAGCTATAGGATGTGGGATTCCCCTCTGTATGCTGTGAATATGTTTTATTGCCATTGGTTAATAAAAAAGCTGCCTGCAGCCAATGGATTAGTAGAGTAAAGCCAGGCAAAAAATCTGAACAGAGATGTAGAGAGAGAGTAGGTGGGGTCGAAAAGATGCCATGTAGCTAGCTGCCAAAGGAGAAAGACAGGAGTCGCCAGCTGGAACCTTACAGATAAACCACAAACCTCATGGTAAAATACAAAATAATAGAAATGGGTTAATTTAAGATGTAAGAGCTAGTTAATAAGAATCCTGAGCTAATAGACTGAGCAGTGCTTTAATTAATACAGTTTATGTGTGATAATTTCAGGTCTGGGTAGCAGGGAACAAACAAGCAGCCTCCACCTACAGCTATAGGCAAAGGGGTAGGGAGATCCAGGGGAGATGGAGGAGGGACTGGCAGGGAGGCTGGAGGCTTGGAGAGGCTGGATGAGACATGACTGCTTACAATACTGAGCAATCAACACACATGAACGGTGAGAAGCCATTGGGGCAGGGAAGTCCAGAAGCTGGTGGCTAGCTTCCAGGCCTGTGGCAGCTGGAGGCCAGAGAAACATCTGGCATGACACCCAGACTGGTCGGACAAAGAGTGGTTCCAAAACCAAGGAATTTTAATTAAAAAGAAGTCCAAGGCTGAAGGAGAGAAGAGAGAGAGAGGCAGAGGGCACTGTGCAGATTACAAGGTGCGAACAACAGATCCGGCACAGGACAGCAGCCTGCCATGTGGCTTCCAACTCAGGAACCACCGGAGAGAAGAAGCCATTGGGAAGACCTGAAGAATGACTTGGTGTCTGATAGCTTTTCATGCCTGCTCACACACTATAGATGTTTTACCTAGGCAGCAGCCTGTATCCTTCAGTGTGCATCTTTGTTACATATGCACACGATTGTGAGTGTCTTTGTGTGTGTGTGTGTGTGCACTTGCACATGTGTGCACATGCATGAGGAGGCCAGAATTTAATGGCAGTGCCTTCTTCACGTACTCTCCACATGACTGATGCATTGGAGAGCGGCTCCCCACTGGACCCAGAACTTGCTCTTTTGACTAGTCTGGCTAGCCTGCTAACTTTGGGGACCCCTGGTCCCTGTCTTCTCCATGCTTGGATCACCAGCAGTCCGCCATGCTCATCTGGCATTTACATGGGTGCTGGAGATCCGAACTCTGGTCCTCAGATTTCTGCGGCAAGCGCTTTGCCCAAGGAGCAGTCTTCCCAGCCCCGCAGCCTGGATTTTTCAGAGACAGATTATGGAATCCTAAGTTTCAATGACATCATCTGCAGGGACCCTTTCTACCTCACCTGGTAGGGGAAGGGTACGGTGTAGAGAAAGCAAAGCCACCAGAGAGTCACAGAGTTCGAGGTGAGAGGATGGTAAGAGTGGTCTCACACTCACTCATTGATAACGATTGATATTCTCAGTGAACAGACGCCCAGGACAGGGTGACCAGAGGGCAGAGAAGAGCACTGCCATTCCAGGGATGGTAGACCCGGGTATCTGGGGGCTGAAAAGGGGGTGAGGGTGAAGTGCAGAGCTGAGAGCTCAGGACGGGAGTGGGGTGAGATGCCACAGTAACAGCGCTGCCTCGTGTTCCGGGAACACTGCAGCAGAGTTCCTAGACACAAAGGGGGGAAAAAGCAGACCAGTTTTTCGCTTTTCTAAGAGTGGTAGAACCAGAGAGGGCCCCGACTTCACTCGCCGTGTTCCTTTAGATGAGAGAACATTTCACATCTGGATATCACTAAGGTTTGCCAACGACAAGCAGAATTTAAGCCCTTTTCCACTGCTATAAAAATAATACTTTATCTAACTACCAATTTGTCTCTTTGAATAAATCTGTCTATACAAGCAATTTGGTTAGCATTGCCTTTCAAAACAGAGCCTGTGAGCCTTGGACGATATACCAGGAGGAGGTGGCGCTGATGGAAGCCTCCGCCACCTGACTCCCAGGATTCACAGTTGTTCATCTGTTTCGTTAATTGGCCACTTGATGACTCAGCCGGCGTTTAGCGCCATTACTCAGTATCCACACGGGCGTCTCTAAGCCAGCACATGGCTAGGCCAAGTTTTGGTTCTTAGAGGGTAGGATTCGAGATCTGTGAATATCGAATACATACGTCTTTTAGGAAATCCGAAGCGCTGAGGTTGTCTTTGGAGGCTCAGGCCTCCCCTGTCATTCTTGGTGAGCGAGCCATCAGGAGACAGAGAGGGCAACTATATAAAATGCAGAACGGGACAGCGCTCAGGATCCCACCAGCACTGTCTGTAATATGCTTTTGCCTTTGGTGAATCCATCTCATCCACACCATTGGGGACAGGAACCCTGACCACAGGCACAACTTCCTGTCATCACCACATGCCACACGGCTTAGGGATGCCGCTGTCACATGAGAGAACTGACCTCACGCAAAGGCTGACCTAAGGGCACAATCTTCTACGTGGTCAGGATATTTGTGTTGTTTTGCTAAGTCCCTGGCACCAAGGGATGGATTGTCACATTGGAATGATGCTTTAAGGGACAGCCCAAATGCAACCCACAACCATTTCCTGTCACATTGTGGCCCTGTTCACAGAAGACAGCGTAGGAAGTCAACCTGATGTGCACCAGGGAGGGAGTAGAAGGGATACACACACAGCATAGGATGCTGTTCAGTCCTAAGGGAGAATGACTGCCATCTACAACAGGGACAACCTGGAGTGCGGTGCACTTAGTGAAACAAATGGAAATCAGAAAGACAAACTCCACACCACACAGGATCCCCACATGGAAGCTCAAGAGCTGGGTGCACAGAAGCAGAGTGTAAAGGGGGTTATCAGGGGCTGGGGGATTGTAGAAAGATGTCTGATTTCAGTTACATCAGAAGAGTTCATCCAAGAGAGCTATTGTAGAGCAAGGTGACTACACTGAACCTGGCATTATATACTCAGGAATTACATGACTATCAACAAGAGAATGGGGGTGAACATGATGAAAGAATTATCAAAGTATTACATGTAGGAGAATGTTATGAGACCCACTAGTCTGTATAATTAATATATGCTAATAATAAAAACTTTAAAAGTCATGGCAGGTTAAGCCAGACATGGTGGAACACACTTATAATCCCAACCAGCCTTTTGCTGAGGGTTCAAAGCCAGCTTGGTTTGCATGCTGAGTGAAAGGTCAGCCTATATTAAAATGTGAGATTTAGTCTCTAAAAACAACCAAGAATTTTAGCAGGGAAATTCCTGGTTGCAATAATTTCTAATACCGAACAACTAGGGGGAAAAGCTGTATAGTTCCCACAAAACTCACTGACATGGAGGATCGCAAAGCTTGCAGCACCATGTACCAAATGACTGTACCACACAAATAAGACGTAGCAACGTTATGTCTCAGTAACATTATGTCTCAGTAACACAATTCTCAAAGGGAACACTAGCTTGGCCTTCTGTCTGGGCTTCATGTGGGCTTGGAGAGCTCTATTTACAACCCAGAGGTAGGTAAAGCAAGCACACTGGCTTGCTTTGGAACCCTAAAAGGCAAGCACACCTTCAGACTTCACTTTGTACCTTATGCATCGATACAAGGCAAATGTCAATAGTGGCTAAAACCTTCTGCACGAGGTCACAGTCACCTGAGCCTTACCTGGAGGTAGTGGCACGGCCGCAGGGAAGGCTTGATCTCTGGGTGGACCAGGGGCTTGTCCAAGTTCAGGGAGCTCTTGCGGTAGGCCTCCTTGGCCTGGCTCACCGTGAGGGTGGACCAAGAGCTACGCTTCATGTACCTGGTGTCGGGCGTCAGGGCCAAGCCTTCGCAGGCTGAGCACTTAACATCACTGTTGCTTTTGGAAGTCTTTAGTGAGAGGTCCCCAAAGGGGCTCTGCAGTGCCTCGGGGTAGCAGTGGGAGATGTGGTCCATGTGGTGGCGGTTGGCCACGCTGGGTGTCCGGTATGTGCTGTCACTGTCCAGGTTATCGTCAGAACTCCACCAGCTGCTCATACCAGACTTGTGCTTGCCCTCCGGCTTCCGCTCCTTGCTTTTACTCCTTTTGCTGTGTTTAGAATGGTGGCTGTGGTGGTGGTCGTCCACCCGACTCTCACTCTTGGTCCCATTGATGTTGCTCTTGGATGATCCCTCCAAAGAATGAGACTTGGTGAAGAGCTTCTGGACGGAGTGGACCAGATGCCGGATTCTGCCTGGACTCTCATTCCGCTGCTCAGTGGCAGCGGAGGCCCTCTGGTACTGCAGTGTGTGGAAACCATCCCGGTGCAGGGGTAGCTGTTTCTCAAACTGGTCCAAAAGGTTGGCGGGGATGCGGTTTACCTTTGTGTTCGTGTGGGTCATGGCACAGTCATCCCTCGTGTCATAGTGTGAACTGTAGTGCATCCTGGGGAAGGTGCTACTAGACACGTGGTCACCCAGCATCACAGGCATCATCATACACTCGGAGTGGACGGAGCTCCTGGGCGAGCAGCGGTGGTGGTCCATGGGGCAGCTCTCAGCCGGGCTGAGAAGGTAGGGCTGCCGCACATCTGGCCCATGGTGCATGTGGTCGTGGGGGTGCTCGCAGTCATCAGGGGGTGACAGGCCACAGGTATGACCCGCACACAGCTGGGGCTGGGTCCGGCTTCCAGTTAACCCTTTCATGTTCCTGGGTGCGGGCGAATACCTCTCCTCATTGAAGTGCTGCGACGTGGGAGACCATGAGTATTGCTGGTCTGTTGACAGAGCAGAAACGGGATTTAGTGCAAGTCAGGGAGCACTGGAGTGCGACAGAGATACAGGAGTCGTTATCCTAGTAGCCAGTCCTGAACCAAGTCAACAGTCACATGTTTGGACTATGGTGACTCCTCAGGATTAGGGGTTGCTAAGTAGCAGAAACTTTGGTCTCACTACCTGAACACCCACAGTAATAGGTCTCTAACATGGGTAGATGCATGGGGGCTCTCAACAGGCAGACTATGAGACCTTAAAAAAACACAGATCGAGAAGATAGTTCACTCTGTGAACTGTTTTGCATGCATAAGAACCTGTATTCAAACCCTAACATCCATATCAAAAGCAGGGCACAGTGGCATGTGCTTGTAACCCTAACTTTGGATGTGCAGGGTCAAGCTGTTCCCGTGAGGGACACTTCTCAAAAAAGAAATGGCGGAAGGCACCTGAGGAACCATGCCTGGTGTTGTCATTGGACAACTATACAATGTGCATATCCTTATATATATATGTGTACTCATATCCATGTATGAATAAACACCCATACAACACTTAGATACATACACACATATACACACACACACTCACGCACACACACACAATATAGCTGTAGATCAATTATATAGGAACATTTTGGGTTAGCTTAAAACACTTGAAAACTAACATCTGATGTTTAATTAGTAACACTGCATGGTGAAGTAATGTATTAGAACTAATAAATTAATCATGAAATAATTGTTTAATGCCACATGCTACCAGAAAGATAAGCCGTGGAGGCAGGTTTCTCAGCCCTAACTCTCTACAGTTTAGGGTCACGGATAGAGAGGCCAGATGGGGAGACCACCAGGCCTCGGTTCTTCCTCTGGATTCTGCTCCACGAGGGACACAACTGGGGACCCCTGGGCACCCCTACACTCCACCTCCCAGACTGTCTTCCTGAACACCATGCAAAGCCTCCTTCCTACATGTTTTCCTCACTGATCTTTGTCCCAGGCTCTTTCTTGCATTAACTCAGGAGCCTGAGAAGCATGTGCTCTAACAATGATGGGCTGCCTACTACTCCTAGAACGTCACTGTGAGCTCTTCCTGCCTTCTGACCCCCAGGCTGGAACCCCTCTTTCTCTCTGATTACTGTGTTTGTGGGGGCAGTCAACTCCACTTTGCTGGATGTCCTGTCCCCACAAGCTGATGCTCAGACAGGAAGGGGACTCTCACGTGTCTGTCTCAGACTGGACCTCACTTTGTCACCTGGTACCCAACCCATGTCCGTTGTCTCCATGGCTAGCCCCTTGTCTCTCCACTGGCTCTTTTGCCACAACACCGCCGAAGCTGGCACTCCTAGCTTGATCATTCCCACATAGGCAGAGCCCTAACCACAGGCACATGAACCCCAAAGAGAGAGAAGGCGGAAGTGGTTCTCCCTTTGTCCATCCCAGCTGCTCCCCTCATGGCTGGGGGAAAAAATGGAAATGTCTGAAAAAACTTGACCTAGTAGCCACTCTAAGGCATAGGCATAAAAATCCCCCACGTTAGCTCCAGAGTGCAACTGTCCCGACCAGCTCAGACACAGAAATGAGGGACAAGAACAAGGCCTGAGTGTCAAGTCTAAGGCACTGGGACATGAAGGGCTGTCATCAGAGTAGACACCAGTGTTCCTGGAAGAACCCCAGCAGATGGCTGCAGAGCTGAGGATGGGGACAATGGGGCCTTCTCCTTTGCATGGCAAGTGGTCGCTGACTCAGGGGGTAACTGAGCTCCAAAGAAGGCTTCCTGGGTGGTGGCCTGAGGTGTCCCCTTGGTACTGGAATGGCTGAAGTGCCTCTAAGGGTCCTCCTTCTTCCAGCCAGGGCCCGGCAATAGCACCGATGTCTCAGGTAGGAGCCATTAAAGAACATCACATTTAATGTAACTCAGAGGAAGGTTTAAAAAAAAAAACAAAACAGGTAGTTAGTGGATAAGTTGCAAGACCGCATTCTGCAACCCCAACCTAACCACGCCCCAGCGTTGCTGTCCTTTTATCTTTTGCTTTATTTTTCTGTTATCATGTAATTTAACACAGTACCAATCTCTTTTAACCTTAAAAGCAAGCCCATCGGAGCTCCAATCACAGGTCCTATTTCAGCCCAATGTTCAGCCCCACAGCTATGCTAGAAATGGGGCCACATTGAAGAACTGTGTGAGAGATAAAAAATTAGCGGGAATAATTAAATTTGACGACGCGACATGTCTGCAGCGTCGTCTCGTTTCCATGGCACGGATCTGAATCTCCTGGTGTAGGCATGGAGTCCCCCATCACCTTCCATCACTCTCCCGGTAACAACAAGTAAGGTGGTGAGGGGCTGCGGGTGACAGCGTCTCTGGAGAGCCTAGGGAGGGAACACACGCTCTAGGCTGTCAGGAGTCTACGTAACAGGTAATAAAGTCTTAGGAGCTGTGTCCTTCTTTTTGTGAAGATGAGGGTAACAAGCACCGGGTGTACGAATCATCTGAGCTGCTTAATCTCCAGCTATTCATAGCAGCATTTTGTTATTAGAGAAAACAGCAATTAGAGGTGTCATTCAACAGCACCCGTGTCTCTGCACACCACAAACAGAACGTAAATGAATCCTTTACAGTAGCAGGACTGGCGAGAGCGTTGGTTCATCCGTTCTAGAAGTCTGTTGTCAGTTTACGAAAATCACATTTCTGTGCCCTGGGTGTGTGCCGTGAACTTCCCTGGGACATCTGCCCGACTTCCTCCAGGGCACAGCCGACCCTGCCATGAGCTAAGGGAATGGAAGGTAAAGACAGGAAGCTCTCCCACCAACTCGTCAACTTACCAACATTTCTCAGAAATGTCATCTGGAAGTGGCGATTGTGAGGTTGTGTTGGTTGGTAGCGGTCACAGCACCAACCCTTTCTCTGCCGCTCCCACCTTCCGCTAATGCCATCAACCTTCCTCAGTTTCCCCTGGAGCACCTGCTCAGTTGACTTGTCCCCTAACTCCTCAGGATCGGCCTATCTCTCTGGAGACACGGGAACAAAGTCCAGTGCAGATCAAAGAGCACGGAAGGAAGCAGCTATGTGACCCTTGTGGTCCACTCACGTTGTACTGGCGTGAAGACAAGTCACCGCACACCCAAAGGAGCTGTCAAAGACGTTTCCCTAGGACCTGGAGAGATGGGGTGGGCAAAATGCTAACTGCATAAGCATGAGGATCTGAGTTCAGATCCCCTGCACCCACTCATACAGCTAGGTGTGGCTGTACTGGCCCCTGGCCCCATTGCTGGGCAGGGGACGGGACAGGCAGATCCTCTGAGCTCACTGTCCAGTCAGCTAGGTTGAGGGAAAGACTCTTTTGCAAATTGTAATGTGGAGCACAGTAGATAAAGACACCCAGTGTTGGCCCCCTGGCCAACACACACACACACACACACACACACGCACGCACACGCACACACATACACATGAAAGAAATCCAAGAAACCTAAATTTTAAAGAAAAAGAGGAGAGGTACGTCCCCTACTCCCATGGTGGAGATTACCAAATAGGAAGGAATACAAGGGGTCCTGTGCCTCGCTTGGTTAGAAATGTCCCCCTTCCACAGATAAAATGCGGGTAGTCTGCATACGCACCTCCAGGGTTAGTATGAACAACAGATAAACAAACTTAACAGATGCTTTAGACCATACCAGGACCACACGAAGCGCATAAAGACAATGTGGTCATCTTTCCTTTAAAATTACCGTCATAGGTCCTACTGAGCGTGTGTGATGGCTCCTACAAGGGGAACTTGTAAGGGGATTGGTGTAGCTGTGTCGGGGGAGGCGTCTGACTGGAATGGAGATAAATGCAGGAGAAAGAAAGTGGTAGCTTAGGAAAAAGGGGAGAGCAAAGAACACATATATGTAGACAGAAACAGCTGGGAGCAATAAGGCCAGGGCTGCTCTTCACAGCATTTCTCGAAAGAGTGTTCCTAGGGGCTGCCACTGCCAAACGTGACCCTCTCCTCAGCCCTGGCCAGACACACCCATACGTGGCACCTTGCAAGTGCCATTCATAGCTCTATGCTGAAACATAATGCTTCAGGCTGAGATATTCATGTGAAGGGTAAAGTGTTGAATGCCCTAAAATAACCCAAATTTACCCCCAACCATCATATCTATTCCTCCACAGCCTCAAGCTGCTATTTAGGGTTTCATGAACTCTTTTCACTATCAGTATGTCCATGTGCTTGCACACACAAATATACACAATACACACACATATATACACACATACAAACTCATATACATACACTCACTCATACACACACACATGAACAGGAGTGATTCTTCTTGGTTCTATGATCAGCAGATTCAACAGCAGCATCAATGATTTATCAGATACACAAGTATCTTTTGAAACAAAAGTCCCAATTGATTCATACAAAAAAACCACAATACAAAAAGACACCTGTACCCTAGATGTCTCCAGGTAACACAACTTGACTCCTGGGAGTAGAGAGTTTGAGCTCAGGTGTCCAGACTTTTAGCTCTCTCTCCAAACTGCATTGGTGTTTTCTACTGAGAGGAATCGTGAGCACATCTGCAATATAACTGCACTTAATTACCAAATGACATCTTATTCATGGGCTTAATAAACAGCCTTTAAACAACGCCTCACTGTAACATTAAAAAACAAAGGCTTCCAAGGCATAGAGGAGAATTACTGTTTGCTGTAAAACCTGGTCCCACTATTGTCGAGGCCCAAAGGCCAGGATTTACTTTTTGCGCTACTCAGAAATGGAATGAACATCAGCGTCACAAAAGCAATGATAATTGTTTTGTAAACTATTTCTCCTGTCTGGATTCCTTTTAACACAAATAAGAGGCTTCCTCACTTTAACCCACCAGCCTTCTCTCTTAAGGTTTATTTGGGTTAGGGGATTATCTTATATTTCAGTAATGGGTTGATCCTGGAATGCA